GGGGAGCAGCAGGAGAGACAGGAGAGGTCTGCTGCACCATGTGGGTAGCTCCCTGGCCGTATATCGAACTCATGCTGCAGCGGCCGTGGACAGCTTCATAGGTTGCATCTTAACCCCTTGTGCCACCAGGGAGGCCCCCGCTTGTCATTATTTTAAAGACCACGTATCTTTCTCATGGGTTCACTTTTTTCATTTACAGGAATTCATTTCCTGGTCAATTTTTCAGGGGTGTCTGTGAGCGTAAACTTCATGACTCTGGATAACCGAGACTCTCTTTATCACGTAATTTCCACTTGCATGCAGTCTCTCGTGGCGTGGCCTGCTGGGTTCCTAAGTTTCGCCTCTTGCAGAGCATATGGTGTCCCACTGTTGCCAACGACTGACTCTGTGCTAGATTCTCTCCCCTTCCCTCCCTCTCCCCTTTCTGTTTTAAAGGATTTTTCTCTTTATTCTGAAATTTCTTGAGCCAGGCTCTTCCCCTCTCCCTGCCCCACTTACAAGCTCTTGCCTCTCTTCTTCCTTTTTATTAAGGATAGGCCCTTCCTCCCTTCCCCTCCCCTTCCTTTCCTCCTCTCCGCTCCTTTCCTCCCCCTTCCTCCTGTCCCCTCCTTTTTCTTTCCTTCCCTCCCTCCCCTTCCCTCCTTTTCCTCCCTTTCCTCATTTTCCTCCCTACCCTTCCGCCCCTTCCCTCCTTTTCCTCCCCTTTCCTTCCTCCTCTCCCCTCCTTTTTCTTCCCTTCCCTTCCTCCCTTTTCCTCCCTTCCCTTCCCTCCTTCCCTCCTTCCTCCTTCCCTTCCTCATTTTCCTCCCTTCCCTTCCCTTCCTCATTTTCCTCCCTTCCCTCATTTTCCTCCTTCCTCCCTCCTTTTCCCTTCCTCCCTTCTTCCTCCCTTCCCTCATTTTCCTCCCTTCCCTTCCTTTCATTTTCCCCCTTCCCTCCTTTTCCTTCCCTTCCCTCCCCTTTCATTTTCCTCCCTTCCCTCCTCCCCTTCCATTTTCTCCCTTCCCTTCCTCTCCTTCCATTTCCTCCCTTCCCTTCCTCCCCTTCCCTCATTTTCCTCCCTTCCCTTCCCTCATTTCTTTCTCTTCCCTCATTTTCCTCCCTTCCCTTCCTCCCTTCCTCTCATTTTCCTCCTCCCTTCCCTCATTTTCCTTCCCTTCCCTCATTTTCCTCCCTTCCCTTCCCTCATTTTCCTTCCCTTCCCTCATTTTCCTCCCTTCCCTTCCCTCCTTTTCCTCCCTTCCCTTCCTCCCTCCATTTTCCTCCCTTCCCTTCCTCCCCTTCCCTCATTTTCCTCCCTTCCCTCCCTTCCCTTCCCTCATTTTCCTCCCTTCCCTTCCTCCCTTCCCTCATTTTCCCCCCCTTCCCTTCCTTCATTTTCCTCCCTTCCCTCATTTTCTTTCCTTCCTCCCCCCTTCCCCTTTTCCAACCCTTCCCTTCCTTCCTCACTGAGGTAACGCGGGTTTGCACGGGTGCGTGTCAGGGTATGGCATCCGTCAGGCGTTGTTTCCACACCACATTCACCGCCAAGACCTGGCAGTCACCACTGGGGCCCACCGTGCTCTCTCCTCACCTTGCCCCGCCCGCGCCCCTCCCCCCTCCAGCTTCCCGGGTTCCCGCCCTAGTTTGACGTGGTCTGACCCTTGGTTTCTCCACATACAAGAGACAGGCCCGGTATTTGCCTCAAGGGAGGCTTTTCTTCACACCAGCAGTCTGAGGGCCATTTTCTTTCTTCAGCTGAGGTAAATATTTCTCTCATTTCCCTCCTCTCAACTTTCCAGCACCCCAGCCTCCTTCACCTGACAGAACCCCCTGACCTGCGGTCACCTCACCCCCAGGCCTCCTGCATCTGCACGTCCCCCTCTGCCCCTCCTATTGTGACAGGGCGGCGACCCTGCCCCAGGGAAGGCTTTTCCTCACGTCCTGCGTCCTTTTCTCTTACTTTCTCAGGGCGCCATTTCCCCACTGAGGAAATAAGACTCCACCTGAAACCGGGGTCCCACAGCACAGGCTGCGGGGCTAGACGGCTCTTCCCCACCGCCAGCTAAGAGCCCTGGGGAAGCGCCCCCGCCAGCGGCTGCGCCTATGGCACCCCCTCCCCCCCCCACCACAGGCGCCAGGCGGGTTTGAGGCAAAGCCCCAACGGAAAACTGTGCTGCACAGAGCGCTGCCTCAGCAGCACCCAGGCCCCCCTGCAGCTTCCAAGGCGGCTACAGGGAGGCTGGCCGCTGAAGGCCGCTGAAGGCCTGTGAGGGCCGCTTTCTTTTCTCTCCTCAGAAGCAGCAATAGAGAGAGCCGGGAATCTGCGGCTCCCGCCCTTCCGCTCGGCTTCATATACTCCTCAGGGGCCCCGCCCAGGTGGATACCTGCCTGATTGGGCCATTTTCAGTTCTAAGCCGCCGATTGGACCATTTTGGGACCAATCAGCTCATTTGGCGCCGAATAATTAACGAGGGAGCTGATGAACGCGATTGGCTCACTTAGCTCGCACCTCATTGGTCCAGGCTATATTGGCGCCAACTATAAAAGGGCCAGAGCCGCCTGGCCTCTGAGGGAAGACGAAGAAGCCTTCAGCAGCTGCTCTCCCCGTAGCTGTCCTGGAGGCTGCAGGGCGGCCTGGGTGCTGCTGAGGCAGCAGCAACGGGAAATTCCCGCTGAGGCTTCGCCTCAAACCCTTCTGGGGCCTGGGAACTGGGGGGTGGGGAAGGGTTGTGGGGGAGGGGCTGCCCAGAAGCCGAAGCCTCTGGAGCGGGCGCTTCTCTGAGGGCTCCCCTCGGCCGCCTGCTTGGCTGCTGGTGGGAAAGAGCCAGTTAGCCCCGCAGGCCACGCTCTGTGGGGCCCCCCTTCACACCCGCTTTGACCCTCTCCACCCACTTCTCTATTTCTCAATTCTTTATTGACAGCTGAGTTTCTCGTCAGCGCTGTCTTCCTAAGCCCGCTCCACTTTCTCACCTTGCATTAACTCTCCCGCTCAGGCCAGTCTCCCCACATCCCAAACTCGGGAGAGATACTGCTCTGGGAAGGTGCCCTAGCTGCTCCCAGGTGTAGTCCTCACCCCGCAGTCTTCAGGCGTTTAGTGTCGGCAGCGTTCTGTGGCCGCTCATGGTTGAAAGACCTTCTCTTGGCTTCAGCCCGCTGCCTCTCAGTCTCCTTCACCGGCTCCCGGTTTGCAGGTGCAGCCCTCAGCATCTTGTCTCTCTGAGCAATTTTCCTTAGGGGCCTCATCCTCTCTGCTGTGTTCAATATTATCTATTTGCAAATTCCAGTGTCCAGCTCAGGAGCCAAGTCTGTGCTCTAAAATCCTAACGCTGAACTGGGGGTTCCTCAGGCATCTCAGACTTGACAAGTGTCAGGCTGAATCTTTTCCTACTCTGAATTTCCCTCCCAGTGGAGGGAAATTCTCTGGTTAATTCTCTGCTCCTCTGGTTGTTTAAGCCAGAATCTTAGGAGTCGGTTTCTACACCCCCTTCTCTCTCGCTGCTTCAAGTCCAATTCCTTAGGGTAGTATCGACCACACTAACCCTTTATTATGGCTCGAGATGTACCTGTCAACCTCTCCTTATACCTGCAGCCAGCACCCTAGTCCGAACCATGGCTGCCTCTCACCTGGACTGCAATCATATCCCCTTACCCCCATTCCTTGCTTCCAGTCCTGCTCTCTTACAATGCATTTTCCCTCCAGCAGTTACAGGCATCTTTTCAAAAACATAATTCCACTCACAGTTTTCCTTTGCACTTAAAAGAGATCCTACAAGACCCTGGATAATCCAGTTCCTAATCAGGCTCATGCTATTCCCCAGCCCATTCCCCACACTGCATTCCCTCAGGGACTCTGGCTATCACACCAGCAAAGCATTTTAAGCATGGTGCTACTGTGCAGGGCATTAACCAGCTGCGGAAGAGATGGATGGTGGTTAAGGTGCCCAAGGAAGCGGCAAATGGGATGCATTCTCCTGTGATGTCATGAAGGAAATTTAGTTTCTGACTCAGGACTAAGGGAGGCTGACAGATCTATGATGAGAAAGTGAATTACAGCAATGCTTTGGGGAAATAATGTGGTGATACCTACTTTTTGGCCATGTCTATTAAAATTCAAATCTATTCTCCCCTTGACCCAGGAAGGACACTGTTGGGAATCTATTTTAGAGGTAAAAATTGTCAGCCTGTATTTACCCCAAGGCAGCATTTTAGAGTATTCCAATGACGAAGTCATGGGGGGAGATTAGGAAAAAAATCGTAACATAGTGGAAAATTATTCAAGATGTCAGGTCAAATAAGAAGATATAAAATTCTATCAAAATGACTGCAAGTAAACATGAGCCAAACATAAGCAGGGACTAGACTATACCACGGATAGATAGAAAAACATTGTTTTAAGTAGTTGGGGGGCTATGGGGGAGTTTTGTCTTGAGGTTTGTTGCCATTTTAATACTGTTTTGCCAATAATATTGTGAATCCTGAAAGTGGTGATTATGGGATGGAAGCCATTGGACTTGAAAGCCATTTAAAGGTGTTCTGGCGACTCTTTGGGTAACCAGACATCATGGGTGGGTTTGGGGCCTCATCAGCACTAGAGCAGTGGGTGATGGGGTGCTGGCAGTGGGTGCCCAGGTGGAAGGGGGTGGAGATGAAGATGGGAGGTGCATCTTCATGGCCGAGGCAGTTGCTGCCCTACTCTGCAGTGAAGGCTGGGGTGAAGCTCGGATGTGGGGCAGTAGAGAATGACAGGAAGGAGGCAGATTTGCTTCAGAAAGAAATTCAGAAGAAACAAAGTGGCAGCCACTTACCGGAGCTGGCCAAGCCATAGCTTATAGGAGATATTTAAAAGAGGTGGGTGGAGGGGTAGAAGGGTATGACTTTGATTTCAGATATGCTAAATTTGAGTTTTGAGAGTTTTCTAAAATCATTTGGGAATAGGGAAATTCTCCCTTTGAGTAACAAAATTTAAAAAAATTATATCGGGGTGGGGCGCAAAGTGGGGAGGGGGTGCAAGGGACACTAGTGGAGGACTTTCACTGTCTTCATGGTGGGTGTGGTGTGGTAGTATACCTTTGAAGGGTGTGATCCTACACCTCTAAATCAGATACACTGTAGTTAACAATGTCACTTCAATTAAAAATAAATGAATAAGTTACAATAATATATATCAAAGAAGCCAGAGACTGAACATTCTTTTGTTACTTAATGGATCTGTAGAAAGACTAAGCTTTCCCGCCAAAAAGACAAACTACTTTTAGCAGAGGAATTTCCAAAAATAGTACTTCCTCACTTTCTGGTAAAACTATTCCTCATTTTGTTTAGCTTTATCTTAATATTTTTTGTCTAGTATTGAACCCAGGCCCCCTTTTGAAATTTTTGCAATGGTGCATGTTTCCCATTCTTCAAACATCCCCTTTCTTCAAATGTCCCCTTTCTTCAAAAAAAGATTTCCCTGGCTGGATCTGACCCTCATATATTTGTAAAAAGTGGACACCAATGACCCAAACTGCCCCTTGGAGGTTTTAGTCTTTGCTATGGGCCAATTCCTCCCTTCTTTTAATAACTCTGCTTCCTCTTTGTTTTCTGCCAGCCTTTTCATTCTTGTGGTAGAAAGCAGCTCTAGCTAAGCACAGCTTGCTGGGTGTGGTCCTACTGTATTTCCCTCATCTGGACAGCCATGATTCTTCTCTGCCTCGTTGGGATTCTCTGACTCTAGCTGGTCTGTGATTTTACTCCTGGAGGCACCACCTTAATTCCTAGCACCAACTATGGCTAGTTTTAGTAACTTTGCCACAGGTTATAAGTTTATACACTCCAAATCAGGTGTGAGCACTAAAAAATCCAACTTCACCTATTAGGATGGCTACATAATTTTAAAAAGAAAAATAACAAGTGTCACTGAAGATGTGAAGAAATTGGAACACTCACATATTGCTGGTGGGAATATAAAATGGTGAAACTTTTATGAAAAACAATATGGTAGGGCCTCAAAAAATTAAAAATAGAACTAACATATGGTCCAGCAAGTCCAGTTGAGGTATAGAATTAAAAGATATTTATCTAGCCATTTCCTTAGCAACATTATTCACAGTAGCAAAAAGGTGACAGCAACCCAAATGTGGTATATCCATATAACGGAGCATTAGCCTTAAAAAGGAAGGAAATTCTAACAGATGCGACAGCTTGAATTAAATTTAAAGACAATATGCCAGCTGAAAAAAAGCCAGTCACAAAAAGACAAATAATGTATGAATCTAACTATATAAGGTCTCTAGAAGAGTCAAATATATAGGAACAGAAAGTAAAATGATGGTTGCCAGGGGCTGGGAGGAGGAGCCAGTTTAAATGGGTATAGAGTTTTAGTTATGCAGAATGAAAAGAGTTCTGGAGATGGTTGCACAGCCATGTGGATGTAATTACTATTACTGAACTGTACACTTACAATGGTAAATTATATGTTATGTATTTTACCCTAATAAAAAATTTAATTAAACAAATAAACTAAAGAAGAAGCATTGAAACTGGGATCTGAACTCCAGTCATCTAATGAATGACAGTACAGCTCTTAACACTGGGCTGTGTTAGTCCTTCTGGTCTCGGACTCATGTGCCTAGGAAGGCAGTTTATCTGTCACCCACCCTTGCCAGAGCATGCTCTTGGAAGGCTCATTCCCCAACCCCAGCAGCTCGTCAATGGATTACTCCTTATATGTAAATTCAGCACATCTTTCTTTGCCCACCCAGGCCCAGAGTGCTCTGGTATACCCATTTCTCTCTGTTCCCTCCTGGTTCTGTTGTCAGCAGCCAGCTGGCTGGGCCACCCTCAATTAGATTTAACAAAAGTAGCATGTTCTCTAACACCTACTGAAATTGGAGCCTTGTGTGTGACTAACATAGAGTCCTGGTACCTACACCACTGCATTCACACTTAATTGTGCATCTGTTTTGTGCCTTCATGCCAGTTAAGCTCTGCTGAGATTTTTATCCATATCTGAGGGACTTTTGTTCCACATCTCTGCTCACAAAAGCTTGTCTCGCTTGGACAAAGGATGCTCTGGTCATTCTTTCACCTTATACACTACCTAAAGGCAGGGCCTTTTCTCGTATATCACACAATATTGCTACCATGTTTATATATATAACCAGCATTTCAAAAAGAACAATTTAAAGGGACTTCCAAACTTCACAAAAGTAGAGAGAACGTATAATAAATACCCATGTACTCTGTATTCACATTTTGCCATTCTTGCTACTTATAAGCATTTAATAACCATGTAGTGCGATGATAACATTAAATGGATGTAGTTTAAAAAAATGAGAATTTTAAATTAGGATGATCTTCTTGGTAGGTACACTCAGTTTCTTAATAGGTACTGGTGTGACATACATTATTTCTGCATAGTTAAGCCAGATTTTACTTTTCTGAGATTATTTGTACCTAATTCTGACTAATGGCAGTGTAGAAGGAAGCTGAATTACCCCTTTCTGTATTTTCCTATTGTAGAAGTCCAGAATGCATCAGGGTCTTGGTTTGTAAGTAACAGAAACAGAGTCCAGTTGACTTAAACCAAATAATCTATTGGAAGGATTTGGAGAAGCTCATAGGATCCAAGGAAAAAGAGAAGTACCTTGTAAAGGACGGTCTCCAGAACTCCAGAGCACAGGAACAAATGCACAGTCTAGACAGGGTACCAGGGTTGCTGCTGTTGAGATGAATCCTCTGCTCCAGTCAGTCCTGGCACATTTGAATTCCCAAGAGAGAATGTTTAGTTTTTTCTTGCCTGGCTCAGACACCCATGCTCACGTCAGCCAATCACTATGACTCTGATCTGGCTGGTTCACCCAAGAAGAATCTCATACTGTTGTCAAAAAGATTAAAGGGGGGACCACAAGGTGAGCAGAATCCACCCCCAAAACTTATTAGCTCTTCTTCTCAGTAGTACCTTCTAGATTAGTGTCTTGGGAACTTCATTTGTCTTCAGTAGCTTTACTTTTTAAAAATGTTAAGTCATTTAAAACCAGTCCCTACAGTATTATTACCCCCTGCTACATGGCCTCTCTACCTGCCTAGACCATTTAGAGAATAGAAAATGTCAAGAAGAGTAAAAATCCATCCTAACTCTCTTCCCTCCAGTTTTACTTTTACTTCACTTTGCATCATCGATAAATGTTTGAACTCCACAATGCAAATTGGTGAATCTAGTTATATTTTCCTATTCACTTATTTATAATATCAAAATTTTCTCCTCTTCGTGTTTGACTGTTCATTAGTATGTGATGGACATGACAATGAGATTCTCTTATGAGTCAAGTGGGGCTTTGTTCAAAGACTACTCCATATGAAATACCAATATGAATATGTGGTACAGAAAATTTCTGCTGTAAAGTGTAGCATTTTTCCCCCTTTCTCTGGGGAAAATATTTATTTGAACTTCATGCACATTTTAGAGCACACTTATGAATAGATATTTTAGGGCGGAAATGTGGAAAAAACTGAATTAGTAGAATGATTATTAAAAAAAAACCTCAATTTTCATGTCATTATGCCATTTGATTTTAATCCTTAAGGTTTCCAAACTTAGATGATGTTAAAGACAAACATTTGTGGACTATCTTAATATGATAAGCATGCATTTACCCCATCAATAAAAATTTGGATTGTCCCAAAGACTCCAGGTTACTGGTGGAATCTGTCCTTTACAACCCCCTCTGGCTGTTTCATATCTCTTCTGTCCCCTCTCTGCCCACTTTTTTTCTCTTTATAGATATTTACTTTCAAAGTTTTTAAAAATCTGCTTGTTGATATACTTGGGTAACATTTGCTGAATCTCTTGGCTTCCAGCACTCCAATCTTTCGTTATGCTCCTTCATTCTCACATGCTCAGTATTTCCAGCATGATCTAGTGCACACCTTTCATACAAAGGAGAATACACAGAAATGCACAGCATTAGAGAGAGAGTTCTGTGAAGTATAAGAATACTAAGCCATTGGAAAGAAAGATAAATTTGGGGGAGATGTGGCACAGAGTTCTTTATCCATCTGAAAGTCTCTAGACAAAGGCATCATTTTCATCAGCAAATGATTTAGTCCTTTACAACTTCTTCCATGAGCTAGCTTCTCCATTGTGTCATCTAGTTCTATTGTCTATCAGTTCTATTGACTGACAGAACTTGGTGTATTTAGCTAATGAATTGCTTTCCAGAACATAGGCATGGGCTACCTGAGACCAGTGTTGTCCTGTAGAAATAGAACATGAGAAACATTTGTCATTTAAAAATTACTGATAGCTACTTTTCAAAAGAAGCAGTTGAGATTCATTAATTTGAAGTTAACCAAAAATATTAAAAATATTTCAACATGTAATCAATATGAAAATTATGATATTTATCTTATAACCTATTTTGTACAAAGAAATCAAAATCTGGTATGCATTTTTATACTGAGAACACATCAGGAGTCAGACACTATTTTATTGGAAATAATTGATTTGTATTTAAATTTCATAAAATTGACAGTTGGAAAGTAGGTTCACATACAAACACATCTAAAAGTTTTCCAATCATTGAAAAAATATTAGTTTAAAATTTAAATATACATTAGTTACAAAGGAATAAAATTAAAAATTCAGGTCCTCCGTTGCACTTGACACATTTCAAGTGCTGATTTTTTTTTTTTTTTTTTAACAGAGCATCTCTAGACTCTTGTTACTCAAGTTAAGGCCCAGGGATCAGCAGGAATGGCATCACTTGGGACCTTGTTAGAGAAGTACAATCTCTGAAGCTAGTTTCTCAGGATTCAGATGCATTTTAAAGCCCGGGAAAGATAGCCTAGACCAGTTGTTAGGAAACTGTTTCCATAATGGGACATAGCAATTTTTTTTTAAAGATTTATTTATTTATGCATACAAGAGCTGGGGTACACGACAGAGGTGTTGGGGGTGAGGGGATTCACCAGAGACAGAGCAGGAAACAGAACAGGCAGATCAACCAAAATACACTGCTGAGGGGAGAAGCAGGAGAGACAGGAGAGGTCTGCTGCACCATGTGGGTAGCTCCCTGGCCGGCCAGGGATCAAACTCATGCTGCAGAGGCTGTGGACAGCTTCACAGGCTGCGTCTTAACCCCTTGCACCACCAGGGAGGCCTGGGACATAGCAAACTTTTAAGATATAGATTTTGTGGAACCTTCCCGGTAACGCACCAGGGAGACCCCAAAATAAATAAATCTTAAAAAATATATATATAGATTTTGTGGACTAGATGCAATCTTTTGTATATCCCTCTTTGACATTTTTTTTAAAATTACCCTTTAAAAATGTATATCATTCTTACCTCGTGGGCCATAAAAAAGCAGGCTACAGGTCATGTTTGACTCATAGGCCATAATTTGCCCATTCCCTGTCTAGACCACAGTTTCTAAAAGTGGAAAAGGATCTGCAGCTCTTTCTGGTGGTCAGGTTACCTGTTATATTCTCATTATAACAATGTAATGAAAAACATATAAACTTGCTATCAGTCAACAAATGTGAAATACCTATCTTCTGGCTCTGACATTCCACTTCTGGACCTGTATGCTACAGAGACATACAATTATACTCACAAAAACAGAGAGAATACAGCAATTCTATATATTCAACGATGTTCATTGCAGCATTATCTGTAAAGCAAAATATTGGAAATTATGTAAATTTCTATCCATAAATATTCTAAATAAGTTACAACACCTTCTTTACCACAAAACACTGTAAAATTGTTTAAAAAAATTAAGTTGATCTATATACAATGACATGGAAGTATGTCCAGGATATACTGCTAATTGACAAAAAAGAAAGTTGTGGAACAGCATGTTCTCATTTTAAAAATTGGAAACACACGTGTCAACACACACATGCAACCCAAATGGTTCAGTGATCATCCTTGTGGGGTAAGAGTTGGGAGAAAGAGGTAGAAGGGGCAGGGAACTTTCACTTTTTGTTTCATGCATTCTGTTTCATATTAATACTTTAATAAGCTTGTACCATTGTAATAAAAATAATTTTAAAGTTTGCTTTGATTTGTGGGTTTGTAACCACCATCTTACTTTGTTTATCCTTTCTTTTTCTCTCTATTTGCAGTAAGCATATTGAGCATATAATAAAAAAAATCAATCACTTCAGTTGTTTCTATTTCTGGCAATGGAGCCAGAATTCCAGAGATGAGGGATGTTCCCAACATTTTCTTACTCTTTCTTCCTTGAGGCATTTCTTGATTCAAAATAGTACAAAGGTAAGATGCCAGCAGAAAACAGAGACCTTGAAGCTGGGAAAGCAAGCAGAACTTTTAAAAACATTTAGACTTTCATTAAAATTCAGGAGGGGTTGTACTCAATGAAGAGGCAGCTCAAAATAGATATTCTGCTAAAAAAACTGAACACAAACTAGAGCCCTTTCAGTCCAAACCAGATTAAAGTCATTAGTCCTTACTCTACATGCCTGCCAGAAAGCAAAGTAGTCTTCTTTGAAGGAAGGTGACATCAGATATAATTTGTTTTTAATAACTTATGTTCTGTCTGAAATTACCAGGAATTCAGGACAGTATGAAATAATCAAAACAAAGAGAAAATAGATAGTATATGGCAAAATAGAGAATAATAAATAAAATGAATAAAATTAAAAAAAAAGAGAAAATAGGTAGTTGATAGAAAACAAAGTAGTCTTCTTTGAAGGAAGGTGACATCAGATATAATTTGTTTTTAATAACTTATGTTCTGTCTGAAATTACCAGGAATTCAGGACAGTATGAAATAATCAAAACAAAGAGAAAATAGATAGTATATGGCAAAATAGAGAATAATAAATAAAATGAATAAAATTAAAAAAAAAGAGAAAATAGGTAGTTGATAGAAAACAGATCCATTAGTGATGCATATCATGATGATCAGAAATGGATTAAAATTACTAAGGTTCTAGCTAGAGCAATAAGTAGGGAAATTAAAGTTATAATTGTAGCAAATAAAAAATAAACTCTCATTATTCAAGAAAACATGACAATGTATGTTGAAATTCAAAAGTATCTACAGACATGCTATTAGAATTCACATGTGAATTTAAAGAAGTTTATTAGATCAATCTCAATGTGAGCAAATCTATTGCATTACTATATATCAGCAACAAATAAAAGTCTCACACTGACTAACATAAGAACATCTGACTATCAAGAAATAATTTTTTAAAGATCTTTTTAATTTGTACATCTAAGAACTTGGGTAGAGGCCAGAGGTGCAGGGTCAGGGGGTGAGAGGATTCACCAGAGACAGAGTAGGAAGCAGAACAGGCAGACTGACTGAAATACACTGCTGAGGGGAGCAGCGGGAGAGACAGGAGAGGTCTGCTGCGCCATGTGGGTAGCTCCCTGGCCGGGGATCAAACTTGTGCTGCACTGGCTGCCTATGGCTTCAGAGTACTGAGACTTAACCCCTTGTGCCACCAGAAATAAATTTAATAAAAGATTTCAAATGCTAGAATTCTACACTAGAAACTATGAAACATTATTGAGAAAAATTAAAGCATATGTAAATACATGGAAAGATATGATATGTTCAGGGATTAGAAGTTCAACATAACAAATATGTTAATTCGATCGTATATTAAGCTATAGATTCAATGCTATGACAATTAAAATCTCAGATTTTTATGTTTTCTTTTTAATGAAATCAATAGCCAATTCTAAAATTATGTGGAAACATAGAAGGCCAGGGATTGTCATGGTCATTTTGAGGAAGAGCAAAGGTAAGGACTTATGTTATTGGATATCAAAGCCTATTATAAAACTATAGCACTTAAAACAGTGTGGTATTGACATAGTGATACACAAACTGATCAGTGGAAAAATATGTCTAATCCAGAAACAGCCACACATATCATTAACTGATTTATGACAAAAACCCCACATAGTAGTGCAGTAAGGAAAGAAATAATTACCTTTTTAATAAATTATAGTGGATCAATTAGCTATCTACATAGGAAGAGTATATCTTTACTTCTACTTTACCAACACAAAAATCAAATTCAAGTGGATTGTACATCTAAAGCAATAAGGCTTTTATAGGAAAATATAAGAGGATATCTTTATGACTGTGAAGTACACACAGTAAAAAACAATAACCATAAAAGAAAGTAATTGAGAAAGTTTATTATATTAAAATATCAAACTTCATCTCATCAAAGACAGTATTAAGAAAGTGACAATACATGAAAGTGGAGAAAGTTAAGTGTAATATATTAAGCTAACTGACTTTTATTGCAGACTAAGTGAAGATCTCCAAACCAATGATAAAAAGCCAAACAACTCAGTGGAAAAAAGAGCAAGAAACACTTGAAAAGACAGCCGTAAAAAGTGATATCTGATGGCCAATAAACATATGAAAAGATACTCAACTTCATTAGTCATTGTAGAATTGCTTATGAAAACCACAATGAGGGGCCTCCCTGGTGGCTCAACGGGTTAATACGCAGCACTATGAAGCAATCCGAAACTACTGCAGCACCCCTTCGATCCCTGGCCAGGAAGTTACCCACATGGCGCAGCAGACCTCTCCTGTCTCTCCCACTGCTCCCCTTAGCAGTGTATTTCAGTCAATCTGCCTGTCCTGTACCCCAACTCTGTCTCTGGTGAATCCTATCACCCCCTGCACCTCTGGCCTACACCCCAGCTCTTGTATGTATACATATAAATCTTAAAAAAAAAATACACAATGAAATACATAATACCCAGAATGGCTGAAGCAAAAAAGAAAGAAAATATCAAGTGTTTGTGAAGAGGTGGAGCATTGGTACTTTCATTCACAGCTGGTAGATGTACAAATGATGACAACTTTGAGAAAATAGTTTGGCAATACCTATTATAGCAGAACATATGTGTATCTACAACCCAGTAGGTATCTACTACTCCCAACTCTATACCCATCAGGAATGCTTATAACTGTTGGGTACTGAAATATTTCTTAGCAGCACTATTTGTAATAGCGTCAAACTGGAAAATACCAAATGCCCATCAACCATAATAGATAAATAAATAAAATACTGTACAGTGATAAGAAAGGAGGAACTTTCAATATAGACAAACAATATGAACAAATTTAGCAAAAATAATAATGCCCAAAAGAAGCCAGACACAAACAAGGGCATGTGTGGTGTGTTGAGTCTAAGATGACCCTTAGTCATTTGTGCCTCACACTTGTGACCTCGGTTCACATCTTCCCTTTGAAAATGGGCTGAACCTGGTAACTTGTTTTTAATGAATAAAATGTGATAAAATGTCATTTCTGAGATTAGGTTTCAAAAAGATTTTGGCGTCCATCTTGGAAAGCTCTCATTTTCTTTCTCACTTTTTACTGTGAGGATAGTTTGTTACCCTAGGGAGTTACCCAATGGAGAGGCTCATATGGCAAGGAACTAAGGAAGGCCTCTATCCAACAACCTGATGGTCTGAATCCTGTTAACTCTCTGCTAAATGGACACTGAACTTCCCCCACTGGACCTTTCGATAAGGCTACATTGCTGACAGTCTGATTGCAGACTCATGGAGACTTTAAGTTTGAGCCGCGCAGCTAAGCCATGTGTGGATTCCTGATACAGAAACTGTGAAACCATGAATGTTTGTTGTTTTAAGCTGCAAAATGTTGGATGAGTTTATTATGCAGAAATAGAAGACTAATATGTCATGTAATTGCAGTTGACAGGCAATTACAAAAGCAAGCAGGCAAAATTAACCTGTAGTGTTAGAAGCAAGGATAGTAGTTGCTTCAGTGAAGGGAAGGGAGATAGGGTGGGGCTTCCTGGGTGCTGGCTTATTGACTTACTGATTGACTCATTTAGGTACTGGATCCATAGATGCATTCAATTTATAAAAATTCAGCAAGATATACACTTAAGATACATACAGTTTTCTGTATGCTTGCATGATCGTTAATTTTATGTGTCAGCTAAAAGATCACAACGTGCCCTGATATTTGGCTAAACATTATTTCTCTGAGTGTGTCTGTGAGGGTATTTCTGAATGAGATTAGTATTTGAATGAATAGTCTAAATAAAGCAGATTGCTTTACCCAGTGTGGGTGGGTCTCAGCCAATTTACTGAAAATTTGAATAGAATAAAAGGCTGAGTAATAATTCTTTTTCTCTGCCTTACTGTCTTTAAACTGGGACGTTATTCTTTTCCTGCTCTCAGACTCAGACTTGGGCTGGAATTATACCATTGGCTGTGTTGATTCTCTGGCTTTTGGATTCACACTGGAATTATGCCATTGACTGTTCTGGACTTCTCAGCTACATTATGTGAGTTAACTTCTCATAATTATCTCTCTCTCTCACTCCTTCCTTCTCTCACTCCCTAAATCCTATTGGTCTATTTTCCTGGAGACCTGACTTATTGTATTTAATACATTATACTTTAATCATCAATTTCTTAAACTGCTTAATAACAAAATAAGTGAATGGAAAGTTTTCATCAGTGACCAAGATTGATAAAAAACAATTGAATGTACATTCTAGTGTGACAAAGACAAAAACCAAAATAAGGAACACAATAGTTGGGGTTAATAGTAGAATGAGCACTGAAGAAAGGTTAGTAAGCTGCAAGACAGGTGGATTTAAAAAACAGAATGGAGAAATGAGTATTAATGAACTGGAACATAGGTTAAGGTTGGAGTGTAGAGAAAGGGGAAACATGGAAAATACAGAAAATAAGGGAAGAGATATGTAAAAACTGTTTAACATCATAATTGGGGTCCCAGGACACGAGGAAGGAATGAATCCCCAGCCAGGTAAATCAAAGAAATTTAGTCACATTCTTAAAAGTATCTAGAGAAAAAAGATACATTATCTTCTCAAGGAACTATAAAATTGATGGCTGAGTTTTTGATAGGAAAAAGAAAAAGAAGCCAGAAGAAAATGGAATATTATTTCTAATGTACTGCAAGAAAACAATTGCCAATCTGGAATTACGTACCTCATGAAAATGTGCCTCAGAAATGAAGGCAAAATGATGAAGTGTCTTACAAACAATAACTGAGAGAATTAATTTCTTTTTTTAAAGATTTATTTATTTATTTATGCATACAAGAACTGGGGTACAGGCCAGAGGTATGGGGGTGGGGTGAGAGGATTTACCAGAGACAGAGCAGGTAGCAAAAACGGGCGGATGGACCGAAAACACTGCTGAGGGGAGCAGTGGGAAAGACGGGAGAGGTCTGCTGCCCCTTATGGGTAGCTCCCTGGCCAGCCGGGGTTTGAACCCATGCTGCAAAGGCTGTGGATAGCTTCACAGTGCTGTGTTTAGCCCCTTGTGCCGCCAGGGAGGCCCGAGAAAATTAATTTATTATATACCCACTCTAGAAGAAATGTCTAAAAGGAATTCTACAAATGTTATGAAAAATAACCTCCAGAATTAAGGTAGAAATTCAGGAAGGATGAAAGAATGGCAGATCTGAAGTGTATTAGGTACCTTAGTAAAAAGTAAAAATAAAAAATAAAGGGTGGCAGAAAGAGAAAATGTTTGTGTAAATCTACATGAATACTGGCTGCATAAAGGAATAACCATGGCCTATAGGTTTTACATACATATAAAATCAAAACAGATGATCATAACACCATAAAGGTGAGAGGGATGTTTACCAGACCAGATCCCGAGAAAGATCTGATTCAAACAATTTATTTGGAACGTAAATCCACATATCAGCATAGGATTGGGGAAGAAAGGGAGGGAAAGAAGGCGACCAATAAAGTGTGCATAACCCAGCAAATGATCTCTATGGGTAAGTGAAGCTTCACCCTTCTTAGTATTTCTGGCACTAGAGTAGAACACGAACCTCAGTGTTAATCCCACCTGAAAAGATAAGAGTATTTACCCACCAGTGCTGGTCAGTTATTGGTTGAAAATTATTCCAGAATGTAGTTTATTTCTGGGTATTTCTAAGTCTGCTCTGCACTCAGGACCCTAAGAAACCCTGGGGCACATTGAGTCACCAGACGCTGGTAAATTGAGAGGACATGCAAGGAAATAGTAAGTGCCAAGGGGGGTTAGGTGGGGCGCAGAAGCATTGACTACAATAAAAAAGGGTGTTAAAGAGTTCTAAATTTATTTTTAATCATCCAGGAAGAAATAAGTGTTGTAATTTTTATTACTCTAATAAATAAAAGATGCATATTATAATGTCCAGATTTTAAAGAGTGAAGTAATATGTGTTTGACAAGTTAGTGGAGGAGGAACGTGGATTGATAAAAATGATTCAAGTAATCAAAAAGAAAGTTGAAAAGATGAACATAGAAGAGTGGAGTGAATTGAAAACAAATCCTAAAATGGTGTATTGACTGCACAAATGTAAAACGATTAAATATTCCAATTAAAAGACAAAGATTATCAGGATAAAAAAGAAAAGACAGCCCAACTAAGTGTTATTTACAAGAGACACACTGTCAATATTAGGACGCTGAAATTTTTTTTTAAATGGGGAGATATAGACACTGCAAAAATAAACAGATGATGCACAGGTACACTGGTGAAGGAAATTCTATGGGGACTACACCTGGGGCAGGGTGGGGGACAGGAAAAAAGAACAAAGTGGATGAAGTTATAGTCATCTCAGATAAAACAGATATAAAATTAGGAAGCATTAATAGGGCTGACAAGGGATAATGAGAGAACAATAAGCAAGAAGACATTACAATTTAAATATGTAGCTTCTAATATCATAGTGCACATGTATAAAGCAAATGGACAGAAGAACTAAAAGGAGAAACAGACACATTCACATTCATAGTGAGAAATGTTTAATACATCTCTTTTGGTAACTTAGATGACACACAGGACAAATAAGGATCTAGAAGATGTAAACAAACTTAATCTAATTAGCACACACATGTAATATTGCTTCCAACATTTGCAGAACACATTCTTTTCAGAGCAATGTAACATTCATCAAAACTGGCCATATCTTGGACCATAAAGCAATTCTGAATAAAACTGAAGGACTGAAATAGTATAGAATGTTTATTTAAGCTAGAAATCACTAATTAAAGAGTAATCCCCCAAGTCCCCAAATGCTGGAAATTAAAAAATACTTTAAAAAATCTAAGGGACCAAAGAAGAAATCATGATGAAAATTGGAAAATATTTTGAACTGAATAATTAAAATATGAAATAATGAAATTATGGGATACAGATAAAACTACCTTTTTTTAAACAACCATTTAATCCTTATGTTAGAAAAGAAGATGAAAATCAGTGATATAGGTATCTATTTCAAATGTTAGAAAAAGAACAGCAATTAAACCCAAAGAAAGTAGGAGTGAGGAAATAATAAAGATTAGAACAGAAATCAATAAAATTAAAAACATTTGATTCTCAGCTCATGCACCAAAAACAAATGTATATTAAAGAAACAAACACAAAAAAAAGTGCTTTAAAAAGAATATTGAAATTGCTAGACTCAAGGCAAGGTTTATCAAAAGAAGAGAGAAAAGCCACAAAT